TAACTTCCATAAAAACATATGATCAAACAAAAAAAATCCAAAATCACACAATTTGAAAAACAAACCCAAATCAACCAACAAAAAAATCAAAAAAGCAAAAATTACCCCCTAATAGTACACTAGAAGAGAGACCCAATATGTTACATAGAGGGTCTCTGTCAATTTTTTTTATATATATAATATATATTTTTTTATATAAAATTTATTTTTTTGTAAAAAAAAAAACAGAGAGACCTAATATCTTTTATAGATGGTCTTTGTCAAAGTTTTTTTTTACATAATATCAAAGAGACCCTTTATTTACAATATTGGTTCTCTAGAAACAAAGAGACCCAATATTTAATTAATGGGTAGCTTTTTTTATAGGTTTCTTTAAGCAGTTTTATACTATTGGACTCGAAGCATTCGCGACAACATTCACTTTACCCTCGTGGTATTGGATGTCTAAGTCATAGTCATTTATAAACTCTAACCACCTACGTTGTCTCATGTTCAATGTCTGTTGTGTGAAAAGATACTTCAAACTCTTATAATCAGTGAATATTTTACATTTCACCCCATACAAATATTGCCTCCATATTTTCATCGCAAACACTATCGCTACAAGTTTTAGATCATGAGTAGGATAGTTAGCCTCATGTGGCTTTAATTGTCTCGATGCATAAGAAATCACCTTCCCATTTTGCATCAAAACACAACCAAGTCCGTTCTTAGATGCATACTATACACATCATAAGAACCACTCCCATCAGGTAAAGTTAACACCAGTGCAGCTGTCAAACTCTTCTTCAAGGTTTGAAACTCTTCCTCACTAATCACTCCAAATAAACTTAGATTCCTTTTTCATCAACAAAATCATCGTTCTAGCTATCCTTAAGAAGTCCTTCACAAATCTCCTATAATATCTGGCTAAGCCTAAGAAACATCGAATATCCGATACATTCTTGGGTGTAGGCCACCCTCTTGCAGCCTAAATCTTTGATGGGTCTACTTCCATTCCTTCCTTAGATATGAAATGTCCCAAAAATGCTACTTTCTCCAACCAAAACTCACACTTCGAGAATTTGGCATATAACTGGTTAGTCCTTAAAGTAGCTAACACTGACCTCAAATGCTCTGCATGGTCTTCTTTACTCTTAGAAAATACCAAAATATCATCTATAAATATCAGCACAAACTTGTCTAGGAAAGGTTGAAACACTCTATTCATCAAGTCCATGAAAATTGCAGGTGCATTAGTTAATCCAAAAGGCATTACGGTAAACTCATAGTGTCCATACCTTGTCCTAAATGCCATTTTCGAAATGTCCTATTTCGCAATCATAGTTGATGATATCCTGACCTCAAGTTAATCTTAGAAAATATTGTTGTACCTTTTAACTGGTAAAACTGGTCATCTATCCTAGGAAAACGGTACTTGTTCTTTATTGTTACCTTGTTCAACTCCCTATAATTGATGCATAGCCTCATGCTACCATCCTTGTTCTTTAAAAATAATAAGGTGCTCCATGGTGATGTACTCGGTCTAATATATCCCTTTTCTAACAAATCCTGTAACTATTCCTCCAAATCACTCATCTCTGCAGGTGTGACTAGTAGAAAAACACAAATTAGCACTGATTCGATCTTGAAAATCGGTGGGAAACAAACAAGGAAGGATTTAGCGTAAGAGCAATGGCACCGGTTCAAGCCAAACCGGTGCTAATTTCTTGAAATGGCACCGGTTCAAACCGGTGCCAATTGTAATAAAAAAAAGCTGCCCTCTTCCTTCTTTCTATTTCCCTTCTTCTTCTTTCTGTTGTTTCCTCAATCTTTCTTTCTCTCTATTCTCTCCTCCCTCCTCAACATCATCTATTTCCCCTCATTCTGTTGTTCCTCACTCTCACTATCTTCTTCCATCCACCATCTATTTATCTTCTTCTTCTTCGATTTTCCTAAAATTGATTTTCTATTCATCTTCTTCTTCTTTGTTTTTCTGGTTTCGATTTTCCTAAAATCGGTTTTCTATTCATCTTCTTCTTCTTTGTATTTCTGGGTTCAATTTTCCTAAAATTGATTTCTATTCATCTTCTTCTTCTTCGTTTTTCTGGGTTCCATTTTCCTAAAATCAATTTTTCGCAAATCAGAAACCCTAGATCTGTGTTTGAGTCCCTCGATGTCGGCCATGAATGTTTTCCCATTACACCTTGCATTATTTGAGAACGATGAGGTTGAAAAGGGGTTAATCTTAGCTCTAATTGACACACTTGATCAGTGGTCGTCGTGGCTTGAACTCCTTTACAGTTCCGGCAAGGGCCTTGACATAATGCTCCAACTGAGTCTCCCTATTTGAAATGAACTTTCTTGCTGACATTTGTTGGTAGATTTCTGAAACCCTAACCTCTCTGTATTTAAGTTTTCTAAATTTATTTTAATTCTATAATTAGAAGCGTGTTTAAGTGGCATACGTTGCTGGCGGGCTGGATTATGGTTGCTGGATTATTGCATGCAAGGGGACTATTGTTGAAATTTACGTTTTCTGTTGATGAATGTCGATAAAGGAAGAGAGGTTTTTGTTGATGAACACTAGACGAAAATCCTAATTTGGCACCGGTTCAAACCCCCCCTAAGGCACCGGTTTTGAACCGTTGGGGATTTGAGGGATGCCAAATCCTCAAAAATTTGGCACCGGTTCAAAACCGGTGCCAACTAAAGCATTTGGCACCAGTTAACCGGTGCCAACTACCTTGAATTTAATAAAAACCGGTGCCAACTTTATTGGCGCCAGTTTTTTTTTTAATAAATTCAGTGTAGTTAGCACCGGTTTTAAGCATGAACCGGTGCCTTTGACTTGTTTTTTTTTTTTTTTTTTTTTTTTTTTTTTTTCCGGCGATAATATATATTAATATTAATACTAATAAATATAATAATAATGAGATCATGTACATAATACCGATAATTAATAATAATAATAATAATTATTATTATTATAATATTAATAATAATTAATATTATTAATATATTAATAATAATAATAATTGAAAATAATAACAAGGACATAAATATTGATAACAATCCCAAAATATGATATTAATTAGAAAAATGTGTTATAACTACAAACAAACATAATTAATTAGTAATAATGTAGTACACTAAGCTAGTTAAAACATAGATAAATGACATTTACAAATTAAATGTGATGTAGGCCGCCAACATGTCTCGAATTACATTGAGTTCCTCGCTCGTGAACGGATTTCCCGTTTGTCCCTTGAAAAACTTGGAATACATATACAAAACGTAAGTTAGTAGGAGTGAACTCATAAACAGTTGTAACATGTCTTTATCACTTATTTATAGGTGGACAAGGCTTGAAATTACAAGAAAATAGCAATTAAGTGGTTTTAGAACGCATTTTTAACCAAAATGGCCCGAGTAAGGCCATTTTGACAACTAGGATGCCTATTTCCTGCATTTCTTGTCTTGTGAACTCATAAATAGGCATAACATGTCATTATCACTTAGTTATAGGTGACTAAGGCTTGAGATTACAAGAAAATAGCAATTAAGGGGTTTTAGAACGCATTTTTAACCAAAATGGCCCGAGTAAGGCCATTTTGACTACTAGGATGCCTATTTCCTACATTTCTTGTCTAGTGAACTCATAAATAGTCATAAAATGTCTTTATCACTTATTTATTGGTGAATAAGGCTTGAAATTACAAGAAAATAGCAATTAAGGGGTTTTAGAACGCATTTTCAAGCAAAATGGCCCGAGTAAGGCCATTTTGACTATTAGGATGCCTATTTCCTACATTTCTTGTCTAGTGAACTCATAAATAGTCATAACATGTTTTTATCACTTAGTTATTGGTGACTAAGGCTTGAAATTAGAAGAAAATAGCAATAAAGGGGTTTTAGAACGCATTTTCAACCAAAATGGCCCGAGTAAGGCCATTTTGACTACTAGGACGCCTATTTCCTACATTTCTTGTCTAGTGAACTCATAAATAGTCATAAAATTTCTTTATCACTAAGTTATTGGTGATTAAGGCTTGAAATTACAAGAAAATAGCAATTAAGGGGTTTTAGAACGCATTTTTAATCAAAATGGCCCGAGTAAGGCCATTTTGACAACTAGGATGCCTATTTCCTGCATTTCTTGTCTTGTGAACTCATAAATAGTCATAACATGTCATTATCACTTAGTTATAGGTGACTAAGGCTTGAGATTACAAGAAAATAGCAATTAAGGGGTTTTAGAACGCATTTTTAACCAAAATGGCCCGAGTAAGGCCATTTTGACTACTAGGATGCCTATTTCCTACATTTCTTGTCTAGTGAACTCATAAATAGTCATAACATGTCTTTATCACTTATTTATTGGTGACTAAGGCTTGAAATTACAAGAAAATAGCAATTAAGGGGTTTTAGAACGCATTTTCAAGCAAAATGGCCCGAGTAAGGTCATTTTGACTACTAGGATGCCTATTTCCTACATTTCTTGTCTAGTGAACTCATAAATAGTCATAACATGTTTTTATCACTTAGTTATTGGTGACTAAGGCTTGAAATTAGAAGATAATAGCAATTAAGGGGTTTTAGAACGCATTTTCAACCAAAATGGCCTGAGTTAGGCCATTTTGACTACTAGGATGCCTATTTCCTACATTTCTTGTCAAGTGAGCTCATAAATAGTCATAACATGTCTTTGTCACTTATTTATAGGTGGCCAAGGCTTGAAATTACAAGAAAAGAGCAATTAAGGCGTTTTGGAATGCAATTTCAACCAAACTGGCATACCTCTTCAAGCTGTTGTGTGTGTCTGTACAATGACTCACTATGTTAAACATGAATCTCATCACGTATAGGCCACAATCAACTCCGTTATCTTGTTGTGCGCACTAGCATGAGGAAAAAAGTACATGAATCAAACATACATAGCAAATTAGCAACATCTTACGCATTGTATATTACGAAAATCACAATATCATGTGGCTTTACCATCGGTGATTTCCTTGTAGGACCTCGAGGAGCTCGAGAATTTATCTTCTTCATAACACTACATAGAAAAGTAAGTTCAAATTTGATTGTTTTAATTAATATATATGAGTTAGGTTATGATAATCAATAACAAGAATTGAAGCTATGTATATTTACTTTTGTAGTATGGACTTCACGAGGCGCTTTCTTGGTTGAGGTAACCGAGCAGAATCAAAGAAGAAGATTGTGTTACTGGAAACACAAATCACCAGTAGGGTCCAATGATAACTACGTACATACATTCACACGAGACAAACAAATCAATAATTAGGCTAGTACAACATATAAACTGGGAAAACAAATGAATTTGACAAGCATAATCGGACGTACTCCTCATAATATGTGGCAAATATAAACATGTCTCCCGCATGCACTGATTCCTTGATACCCCATTCAACATAGTACAACACGTCAGTGTGGTTGCCTAAGATTCTAGCAGTGGAGATCTGCTCAGGGCATAACCACCCAATTTGACATGGAGAACCAAGCTCCCATAAGTGCTCCTGGAGTGCTTTGCATGCATGATAATAGAATGTTAATCGAAAACCAACCGACAATCACCACTAAACTGAATAACATAAATTGAGTACTAGTTGAATTACCTGATGCATATTTGAATGAGAGAAATGTTAAGCATTGCACCACTTAGAAATTCCTTCACATCTTATTTGAATAGCCATGCCATTGCATCATCATCGTAGTGGAACATTTCCTTAGGTAGTGGAACTTGAATGGGGTTGTCACTTGGCAACACGCAAACACGGTTGTGCAGATAAGTTAACTCCTTAGAGAGCGATTTGAGCACCGTGTCTTCAACTAGTGGAGTAGCTTGCATAGCTGCACCTCGTGAAGAGCTCTTGTTCGACGCTTTTCCACTCACCGAGCCATGTTCACTCCTCTTCTTTGGCATCGGTTGATCAATGCTTTTTGGCCCCTCCACCCTCTTCTTTGGAGTTTGGCTTTTCCTCGATGGTTAATAAGACTAATCACACAAAAGGTTAGAAAAGAATTTCATCCAACTCTTGGGATGAAAATTGGGTATAGAGTAAAGCATGAACTTTAAATCTTAATTACCTGGTTCACCAACCGTATCGAAGCACATGGCCATTGCACAAAACTACCTTTTGCCGCCCAAAGTGTAGTAAACTCATCCTCCTCTATGGGCACATGTATTAGGATGTCCTCGAACCTGACAACCACAGAATGGATCCCGACCGAATAATACTCAGGTTGAAGCGGTCGCAAATGGACCGTACCTTGTTCGGCCGGTTGTGCACTACCATATGCAATGACATTCAAAGCTCCACTAAGCGATTCGCCTGGGTGAAGAATTTCACAACGGGTCTCTTCCTGCACCAATTTGGAATATCACTTGTAAGAAACAAGTAAAAAAAAAGAAGAAGAAGAGCAAAACAGGCATGAAACACAGAACAACAGCAACAGCGGAATAGCTGCACAGCTGCTGCCTGCTGCCTGCACAGCTCACAGACAGGATCACAGTTCATCAGGCAGTTAGCACAGCTCATAGACAGCACAGCACAGGAGCAGTGAGCTCACAGCACAGACACAAATCATAGCAGGCAGCAGGCAGACACAGCTCACAGCACAGTCACGACTCACAGCACAGACATAACTCACAGCTCACAGGACAAACACAGCTCACAGACACAAAAACAGCAGCAACACAGCACAGAAACAATATAACTCATAGCATCAAAGCAGGCAGCACAACTCACAGCTCCACAAAAACAGTAGACATAGCTCACACCACAGAAGTAGCAGCAACACAACACGCTCACAGCACAACTCACAACATCACAGCAGGCAGACAGCAAGCACAGAAACAGGCAGGCAACAAGCACAGAAAAAGCATGACAGAAACAGCATGACAGCACAGAAACACGACAACAATAGCACAGAAACAGCACAAAAACCGGTCTTTATAGGAACGAAGAAACACGAAACAAACGAAGAAACGAAGAACATTTACAGCACATAAAACCGCAAACTTCATCCAATATAAAGAAACAACACAAATTCACAGCAGAATCAAAGAACCAATATCACCATCCAAAGAAATAACTAAACAACTCACCTGTAGAACTGGAAAGTCATAAGGTGTTAGATTTTCAAGCTCCCTCAAGTACGCATGTGCAGGATTACTAACCTGCAACAGTGTATTGATAGTGCGAGGCTAATTAGAACCCTTGTAACTAAAAAAAGTCAAAATTTATACATTAGAAACCACTTGATCATGTACCTCCTCGTCTGCATGTATCTCATCTTCTCCTTGTTTTCGTGGGTGACTAGAAGAGTCGACCGGTGTAGCCGAGGAGAAAGGCAAGCTCGACAAGTTCATTTGCTTTGCCCTAGCACACACATGGTGCACCTATGCATGCGATGAGCTAGCCTAGCCTAGCTACGGCTACGCTCATACTTGTTGCTTGTGATTTTGCGACGCTCGGTCTCGACGCCCTAGGCTCGATTTCTAACGTCTGTATTCGTAAAACTCTGTCGACTCATTAAATCCTTTCGGATTAATTCGTCGTCTCGGATCGGTGATTCGATTGGGTTCGATCCGAAGGGTTCAGTTAAGATTAAGCTGTAATATCAATTTTACCTCGATATTACTGATCGGAAGCGGCCTCCACCTAGGCATTTCGATCACTTGACCTTACTGAAGAATTAGCTCTGTAATAATTCTGAACCCTCTATCGGAAGAATACACTTGTTGGAAGGACACCATTCCTTTCAATCTCCCACTTGTCCTTCCGGACAAGTGTGCATACAGTGTATAGCTCATTTCCTATGTCACTTAATGTTTCTTCGTGAACTATAAGGTAAGATTATTTTTCATCCTTATTACGTTCAGAAGTGTTTCTCGATCTCCGAGTTCGACTGTCAATAAGCAGATGATTTCTAAAATCCATCTGAGCATGGCCATGCATTTTCACAGTCTCGCTCTTCGAGCGGCCTTGTAAACAACAAAAAATATTCCCTATTGTTAGTAGGGGGACAATCCCAGTCTTGTATTGTAAGTTCTTCTTAAGAGGACATAGTCTCCCGAGTGTTCCCGTTATGATCCCCAGTTACGGCAGACGTTTGGAAACATCAAAGAGTCTAGTACTCAAACAAGAAAACTTCACAGTACTCATGGTCGGAGGAAATAAGTTCCGATAGTCATAATGAGAAGTGGACTTATGACAAAATTTAAATTTTCTTAAAGTACTCTCATAGGTCTTATCCAGTAAAGTTCTAAACTGTACCTGTGCAAATGATTTATGACCGTCACGTTCTCGCAGCACAAGAAACGGTGCTGTAAATCATACTACACACTAATCTATGGCGGTCATTAATCGTCCATCTGTTAGATGACCTCGATTAGGGACACTTTTCGATTTAATATTCAATGTTCACTTAACAGGTGTTTCTTTATCAAGACATGGTCTTGATACCCTTTTTTGAATATTTCCGTAAATCGAATGGACTCATTATTTAATTCTAAACCACAATTAAATAGTAATGGAGTGAAGGATAATTTTGCACAAAAATTAATTACTCCATTAATGAATCGTTTTAATACAGTGTCTTACATTAAAAATCCTATTTAGTTAAAACACATGTACACGGAATGTCAAAGCCAGTATCCAACATGCTTGATTCCCATTGCCTCAATGTGCTTGTTGTGTTTCACTTGAGGCAAAGGTTTAGTCAAAGGATCGGCTACATTATCATCCGTGCCAATCTTACAAATTCTGATTTCACCTTCGGATTTCCATTCCCTTATCATGTGAAATCGCCTTTGCACGTGTTTGACCTTCTGGTGTTCTCTCGGCTCCCTGGCCTGAGCGATAGCTCCATTATTATCACAATAGAGGTCTATCGGTCCCTTGATTGAGGGTACAACACCAAGTTCACTAATGAACTTGCGAATCCAAACAGCTTCCTTAGTTGCTTCTAAAGCGGCCAAGTACTCGGCTTCAATTGTAGAGTCTGCAGTGGTGCTCTGCTTGGCACTCTTCCAGCTGAACGCTCCTCCATTAAGACAGAATACAAATCTAGACTGTGACTTGAAGTCATCTCTGTCAGTCTGGAAGCTAGCGTCGGTGTAACCTTCAACAACCAATTCTTTGTGGCCTCCATACACCAGGAATTTATCCTTGTTCCTTTTCAGGTACTTAAGGATGTTCTTGGCCGCATTCCAATGCGTTCTCCTGGGTTCGATTGGTATCGACTCGTTGCACTTAGGGCATATGATACATTTGACCTTGTACATATCATGGCATACATGATCGATCCGATTAGCGAAGCATATGGGATCTGATTCATTCTTTCTCGCTCAACAGGTGTCTGTGGACACTGTTTCTTGCTGAGAGTTACGCCATGGGACATGGGTAAATGCCCTCTTTTGGCATTCTCCATGTTGAATCGAGCCAGTACCTTATCAATGTAAGTACTCTGGCTTAATCCAATCATCCTCTTATATCTATCCCTGTAGATCTTGATGCTTAATATGTACTGTGACTTTCTTAAGTTCTTCATTGAAAAGCACTTTCCCAACCAGCCCTTTACGGACTCCAACAATTTTGTGTTGTTTCCAATGAGCAGTATGTCATCGACATACAGGACTAGGAATGCAATAACACTCCCACTGACCTTCTTGTATACAAAAGACTCATCTGGATTCTTGATAAAACCAAACTTGTTGATGGCTTCATCAAATCGCAGATTCCAACTTCTGCTGGCTTGCTTTAGTCCATAAATGACTTCTTCAGCTTGCAAACCTTTCCAGCGTTGCCTGGATCGACAAAACCTTCTGGCTGTGTCATATACACAGTTTCTTCCAAAATCCCATTAAGGAAGGCGGTTTTGACATCCATTTGCCATATTTCGTAATCGTAATATGCAGCAATCGATAGGATGATCCGGACGGATTTTAGCATTTCAACTGGTGAAAAAGTTTCATCATAGTCAATACGTGGACTTGTCTATAACCTTTTGCCACCAGTCTAGCTTTGTAAATTGATACATTTCCATCCTTGTCTGTCTTCACTTTGAAGATCCATTTGCAACCAATGGGTGTATAACCCTCGGGCAAATTCACTAAGTCCCAGACTTGATTTTCAGACATGGAGTCCATCTCGGATTTCATGGCCTCTTGCCATTTTGCAGAGTTGGGGCTCGTCATAGCTTGCTTGTATGTCGCCGGCTCATCACCATCCATGACTAGGATGTCCTGATCATCGGTTAAGACGATACCGAGGTATCTGTCTGGTTGAGATCTTTGCCATTGCGACCTATGTAGGGTAATCGGTTGAGCATTTACATTGTCTGTTTGATTCTGACCAATCTTCTTAGATGCTTCCAAAGTATCTAGATTGTTAGTTTTGTCAGGTTGACATTGTTGCTCGTCCTCTCGAACTTCGTCGAGTTCGATTTTCCTCCCACTTGTCATTTTGGAAAAGGTGATCCTTCTCCAAAAAGACACCATCACGAGCAACAAACA